AAGAATGGGTAAACGTACTCTTTATTTTCTTATTTATATGATTAATTGGCTAAGTTTTTGTTGTAAAGCACTCGATATCATCAAAATAGAAATATTTGACAGCCTGAAACATTAATTTATCATTTCAGCGATATTTGGCGCCAGAATTGCTAGGAAACGCTTTCCAGATGAATCATTTTGAGGCATATAAAACAGCTGACATGTATGCGGTGGGGCTGATCATATGGGAGATTGCATGGCGATGCAGTGCCAATTCCGGTTATCGTTGTTATACTTTCCGAAGAAAAAAACAGTTTACTAATAGTTTCTTTGAAGTGCAACTTGTTCATCGTGTGTTCCTTCTCGCTGTCGATGCACTAGCTAGCAATTTTTCTGTTATACCCAGTTCTCAGTTTGCTGTTTGCGGGGAAAAATTTGAGTGGATTTCTCTTGGATGCTTATTTGGAAGTCACGAGCAAACGGGAAAGTCCTTAATCCTCTCACTGATATCTCGAAACAGCTAAAGTCTTTTCACAGTGCCTCATATGGGAAAACCGCTGAGTGGTAATCTCTTCAGCGGATGAAACGCGCATCATGTTGCACAACCGGAGCATCGCGCTGTGAATTGCAGTTGTTTAAAATATCAAAATAATTGTCCCAGGATTTGATTCTTTGCTTTACAGAGCCAGTGAATCCGTTTGAATTGCCGTATTTCGATCGTGTAAGCCGAGATCCATCAGTGGAAGAGATGAAGCAGTGTGTGTGTACTCGAAAGTTGCGACCAACCATCCCGGAGTTTTGGCGCACTGACCAGGTTTTTTTGCTTCTTAGCACTTTTCGGTATAAGAGTATGCGATGATGGTTGATTGTGCGAATCATGCTTAGCTGCAGAATGAGCACCAGCGAATTATTGGTGCATGCACAGTAGTCACGAAAAGCTCTTTTTACCTTGTACTACCACTTAACTTACTGTCGTTTTACCGCTTTTAACCATAACTTTGATAGATTTGAAGCTAAAAAATTGACAACTTTGGCAGCGGGGTGTAAAATTTGTTGTTATTTTTTGTTTTAGTTCTTATTTGGTTGTTGCACGCTTTTATCCATCTGTAAAGTCAGCAACATTTTTGTTGTTGTTTCGTTCGAAATTCCCTCATATCAGCTTTGATCACACTCTTCATTACACGGATAAGTATAGCTTACAGAAGTAGAGTACTAAGAGGTCCGCAGCTTAGAATCGAAGGGCCTGGATAGCTTTACTCGCGTCTGACAACACCCTAATATCGTTACTTGTTTGGGATCCGTACACTGATTTTACAGGTAGCTCTAGTCTTGTTCTTGGAAGTTCAAACTTATGAATAAAATAGCCACTGGATGTAATTTTAGAGTATGGGAGACGTACTGCGAATCATGCAAGAGTGTTGGACCGAATCACCGGTATGCCGTCTTACAGCAATGAATGTTCGGAAGGCTGTGGAGCGT